CTATTGTTATGTAAGTAAAATTAAACAGGTGTAACGAAACGCACGTGTCTAACTGTATCGCTAGCTTTGACATTCGTTGTCATAGCAACTGGAGGTATACACACATACAAAGGCATATACATATGGAATATTCTTTGTGAATAATCAAAAACCACATGATACAATAAAACCTTTTATAACAAAATTATACAAGATCGTTAAACATGTTTTACAGGTCATATAACATTAGCTTTACTGTATCGATGAATAAATCTACTGAGTATTATATGTATAGTTATTCAATTACGTAATTCAATTAGCGTGCAGGTACTATGATATTCGGAGACTTGGAGCGTAACGCGTTAATTCCACCTTGTAAAGAACAGACTCCCACGACATTGCATTTTACCAGAAAGTCTGCAAACTGTTAGAAAATACATTAGCGTAAATCTCTCCTCTCACAATTTTCTTCTACACGACTTACTTACCAATGCATTGTTTTGATCGTGTGGTCCAATAATCACAACGACACTGCTTTTATTATCTATCAACGGTTTTGCGTGCGGTCCGAGTGTGTCGACGTGAGTTTGAGATAATTGCACACTTGTGAATGGAATGTTAATACTCCCGAGAATAGCACCTCTCTCAAATCTGTTAAAGATGGATTATTAGTTTAGGAAATAAATCCGCTGAGACATAATTTTTTACTACAAACGAATACTTACTGTATATTACTGCGTACATCAACCACTATGACTTTGTTCGGCGAGCTGTTATAGAGGTTTAAAAAGTCGTCTACACTTATCCTTGGCATTTTTTCGGTTCCCGCTTCGGGTTCAATCCAGTTTGCATCCTGCGAAGTTCACAGAGTTTTATAATATGCTAATTGGTAATTAAATATCAAACATCAATTGACACTGTACCTTGGCTGTATTATATTGGTGTTTTCTGTACGTAATACTAGCGGGTGTGTTTTGATACATTGTCATGGAATCCTTAACGCATAATTCTATGTCAATCTCGGGCAGATCAGAAAACAGGAGAATACACTCGTTGAAACCTGACATTAGTAAGGGGTCTCGTAGTTGTTTCAATATCGCTAATCCAACCAAGAGAGGAAACGATGAGTCTCCTAGCAGTAGTTTATCCCATAGATGCAATATCTTATGTAACGGAAATACATCTAAAACATTAGTAATCTTTAGTATGATTATGGCGATTAATAATATGACGTACTAAAGGCGTATTAACAGCAAATCTTACGTGAAAACATTGTTAGGAACCATGGTATTGCGAAGAGTTCCGGTACAAAGTTTATGGACTTTAGATGATTCGCCAATTGAGGATCGTGGAACGCAATGATTTGGGAGAACTTGCCCAGGTATTCCTGTATCACCGCTGAGTTGTCTTTCAGGAAGAACTTATGAAGATATTTCGGTATGAAGGCCGACAAACACGCGAAAGCTCGAGCTAAAACCCAATTGGGTGATTAGGCGTGAAATTAAGGAACACAAGTGTGCGTTGGTTACCATACCTTCGTTATTAAAATTTAGATAAAGGAACGGTGCTGTTAGTGAATCGAGCCCTTGCCAATAGACGTAATGTGGATTATTTCTGACCCACGCCTTTAGCAATCTTTGCAGTCGTTCGTGCCCGGCACCAGACGACAGTAATTCGCTATATTGATGACATCTCGGTATATCCACCTCTATCTAACAAGTTAGTAGCGGAATGTATTTATATGTCGAGCGTCATATTACGTATAGCGATTATACCTGTCGATCAGTATGCGTTGGCGTTTCCTTATCAATCATGTCATAACGCTTCTGAATGTCGCC